GCAGGAAGTCACCAATCACCTTTCAGGTCTTCTGTCCAATCTAGTTTCAAATATTCCAAATAACACTTCTGTAATATTCACACTGTTAAGAGATACCTTCCCATAATGAGAATAATTTTTCTAGATTTTCAGTTCATTTCAATACTGATATGACTGTAAATCATTAAATTCATTCTTTAGGCTTCTGTATCTCCTTCTAGTAAAAAGCTCAGTGAAAAGGAAGTATGAAAAAAAGACAGACTCCCCTACAGCAATTAAAAACGAAAGGCATCAAAGCTATACATCCATCAAGTGAAGGGCCATGGGATGACAGTCTTTCCTGCATCAGAAATCAAGATATGCCTGTCTTCTGACATACCTTCAATCTTTTTTTATGAATTAGCGGTTGCTTTCCTGATCATTCCCTTCAAGAGAAGAACTTCAAATGAGGAGGTAAGTGTAAAACCTTGAATGACTTTTTTCTTATGAAGCAGGGGCAAACCCACTTCTGTCAGCACACTGCAGCCTTTGTGAGTGCCACGCAGCCCAGCCCAAACAGCATTAACTCGTCTGTTAGCATCATTGTTCTGCTGCTGCCACCTCTACCTAGATTAATGGAACAATATACAGGAGGAGATTAAGATTTCTATTACCACGGTGCACAGGAGCCCAAGTCATAAACAAGACTTCATCTGCAAGGTGCTATATATAGTACAAAAGACAATCAGCGCTCTGAAGTATTTACTGTCTGAGACACAACACGTGTAAATTATCTACAAGGGGAGTAATGAGATAATGATATTGGCCAACATGAGAAGTACTAATCATACAGTTGTGATCAAGATTTTCTAGACATCATTGTAAGAATTCATATCAGAACTTTCCAAAAGCAACTGCAAAAACAAACAGGTTGATCCAAAAAAAATACCATTCATTGCAATTAAGAAGAACAATTCAGCTGTCAATGGAGACTTTGACTGCAATGCAGCTTTTAAAGATCAAAATGCTCCTTTTTCATATGGACTATGTTGGACAATATCGAGCTTTTAGGCACATAATAGCTAACAGAGAACAGCAGTAAAACATCTGTGAAGGAAAACTTGAATACTTCATATGTTAAAAATAAATGTGTTAAAAATTAAATAATAATGATTGTTAGTTTGGCCAATCAACATTAATTCATTGGAAATCAGAACTGCAGTAAATGCTACAGAGTATTTGTGTTCTGTAACTGATGAACTGTAATAGTTATTGAAATAAATGATAATGAAGAGGTAATGCTTAGGACTGAAGCTTATTTTTCATGTGTTAAGTTTAAAGAAGTTTCAGTGGCAATTCCTCACCTTTAACAGCTTTGATAATGGCTTCAATACTGCAAACACATACATAGAAACACTGATGGAAAGTTATGGGGTTGCTGTTCTACTCTAAAAAATGCTTTCTTTGCCCCTAAGAGAGGATAGTCACAGACACCATTTTCCCCTAGTTAGTAGTTACCAGAAGGGTAACTATCTTGCCTTCATACGGCAAGAGCCCTAAAATACACACCATGATCTCCTGAGAGCCAAGGGGAGATGCCCTGAGTGCCAACAACAGCCTAAAGGTCCTATCACTCCTCTGAGAGATTAAAGTATGCACCAGAACAACTTTGCTGTTGGCTCAACACAAACCTCAGCTTGCATTTGACTAGATGACATCCCTCATGCCAAGTTTACCAGGTAAAGGCACCTAAATGATTCCTAAAGAATACTGTTCCAGTATACAGCAGGATACTAACACTATCCAACACCAGGCACCTCATTCGATCTGCTCCCCTCTTTCAAAAGCCAAGAGAGGGGAAGAAGCTACTCCAAATGGGAAATTTAGAAAGCAGCTTAATTGAAGCACTCTGAAGCAGCCTCTGGCACCATTGTCAGTGCAGCAACAAGGGCAAACCTTTTCCCTGAGACAGGCACCAATATTCTCTCCTTTCCTCCACCCTTTCTATAGCCCCCAGGAAATCTCTCTCCTCCCACTCCTTACAGTTTCCTTCTGTGCTTTTCTACTGCTGAATGATCTTGTTGCCTGAGCAACAGCAGCTGAGGAGGGGAGTGGGGAAACGTTCTGGCCCAGTTGTGCTCTACTGGCAGCAGCGCTGCTTTCTGACCCTGCAGTGCATGACAGCAAGGGCTGCAGCCTCAGGAAATGAACCTTCTGCTGAGTTTGGTGCCTTGAGTTGGGGGTAACATCCCTGCTACGTGCTGGGGACACTGCAGACCCTTGTTCAAGGATGAATAAAATGACAGAACACTCAAGACTGCCAAACAAGCAGTTGTTTAGCTTATCCACACACCCAGATTCTATTCACAAAGCAGCCACATTTGTGACACTTCAATTCTGGCCCTGCTAGAACTCAGAAATACTAATTAACTGGTAATGAATCTTTACAGTAACATGCTCTAGAAATATCAAGTTATTACAGTGTCTCCTTCTCCCTTTGCTCTTTTCATTGTGTGTTTTAGACTTCAGAGAAGTACCCACAACAAACATAGCTACCAATGACCTTTCCAGACCCACCTCAGTGTTTGTACTTTGCTTTCCTTTCACCTTTGCTGTCTGTCTGCTGATATTTGAACAATACCTGGTAAAATGAGACTAGCTTGGTGCTAGCACTGTATAAGAAACAATAATCTCTGCAAGATAGCCAGCAGAGATTCCTTTTCTGTTATTCTTTGACTGAAAGAAAGCCTTTTATTGTTTTAAAAAAACAGGATTCTGCTTATAAGGTTTTGTGTTCCTACAGCACATGAAACACTGTGGGTTGCCTCCCCTCTTCCTTGATGGTTTATCATCAAAATGACTGTAATTGCTGCTCTGCTGATTGCAGGAGGGAGGGCTGTGCAGTTTGTCCTGCATTTGAGCAATATGCACTCTGAACATAAATCATAGGATTGTCTGTGTTGATGCTTCTTAATAGATAGTAGGAATAGTCTCGTTAAACTGAAACAAAACTCATCAGGGACTGCAGAGCTAAATGAGTGTAGCTGCTATGACATACCACTCTTTTTTATTACAATGTAGTTGTCACTTCTGAAGTAGAAACATAGCTAGTTAGAGGCTCCAGTTGCACCAGGGGTTAATGGTGACTTACTGGGAAATTACTGGACCTTTTAAATTTCGTATCAATGTGAGCTTCATTCAAAACTCATTTACTCCATCTTAGCAGATCTGCTGTCAGCAGCTGCATACTTGCTAATTCTGTCTCCTGCACTGTACTTGTAGCACTTTTAAAATCTAGTTTTTGGACTACAGTTATTTTTGTTGAGCATAAAATAGAGAACAACTGGAGCTTAAGCTTGACAGAACCCAACCACAAAAGCTTAGCAACTAATACTTCTTTTTTTGCTCTGTTATCTTCAGAGATAACCTACTTCCATTTTCAGCTCTCCGGCAGAACAGTCAGAGTGAATATCACTGGAGCAAAACACAGTCCAGAATTTATAGCTTACTAAATCCAGTGAGAAGCTTTAATTAATGAATTCTGGAGCACTGTGACTTGATAGCAGATTCCATCAATTCATTTGGAGTAAAACTATCAGGATTTCTCAATGTATCTGGAAGTTTCAAAAGCATTTGTCAAAGCAATGTTAATACATCTAGGACATAAGTAATTACGCTTGGGAGAGCTGAGATAACTGGTGAGGTATCTCCAGTGCTGCCTCTTCAATAGCTCTTTTTGACTAATGGCTTCAGCAATGAAGTGACTTTCAAACTACAGCTTTCAAAATCAGAAAGGAAGCTCATAGGGTCACAAAACTGACTGAAGGAAAAGGCGTGAAGCCAGACATCCTTAGAGTGACTCATGGGTTTCAATGGGATTCCAGAAGGATGGAAATAGACAATGTAAATGTGTGCTAGGTCACCATTAATCTTTCACCAGTGAAAGATTGCTCCTCACCATTCTGTGGTTTCAAGTATGAGAATAATTGGTCCCTGGAGATACAAGAAAACTAGAAGGAAAAAAGTTAAATAGTGGGAAAAACCTGAAGAAAAACATAAAAAATGTTTAAAAATTGAGCATCTTAAAAGGGCCTCATGAATATCACTGACGGACTCTTACCAACTCTTATCAGTATCTTTATCGTTTAGTTATTAATATAAACTCTTTTATAGTGATAACCATCTCCCTGTGATTTGCATTTGGTTAAAACTATATCACAAAATCTTATTTGCTTTTGATAACCTCAGGAAACCTCTCACATAATTGGGGATTAAAGCATGCAAAAAGCTAAGTTATGGTCATCTCCTTTTAATAAAACTTGCCAGAGTAACATAAAACCCCATCTCACAAAGACAAGAATGCAATAAAAATACTGCTATCACTTCTTTAAGCTCTACCGAAATTTCTTGGGGGGCTGGAAAAAACCCATCTCATATGTGGTAAGGGCACTCACCTGGGAAGTGGATCTTGAAGGGGATTTGTACTTTTTCCAGTGATTAATTAATTTAAAGACAGAAGATGAAAAATGAATTAATTCTAAGACAGAAGAATTCCACGAAGCAGGAAGCACAACTTATGATTCCTCCTTTGGGTATATGTCCCAGGAACTGGGCTACATAACTAACCTCACAACATTTCCTCTCATTCCAGTATCTTTAACCCCTCCATAGCACTTATCTTGTAAGAACCTAATTTCTTCATTAGATCAAGGTATCAGTCTGTGGCTGACCTCTGTGAAGTCTGCATTGGAAAGAGGTAAGTGCAGCACACAAGTGGAGATGGAAATTAAGTCAGACAGAGCTTGGCAGTAATAAACTGCACAGCATCATGATGCTGTGCACTTGTGTATCTGTACATTTTGTTCAGTCTTGAAGTATTTTAAAGCTCACCACCCCTTTATTATATTTTGACCAGACTCTTCTATCCAAGTCAAAGTCTGTCAAACACTGGGAAAATGATAAATTCTGAGTCTGATTAATAAATAAGAGGAAAAAGAAATGTGAGTACTGACAGTAGCCAAACGTTTCAAAATCTCTCTTACCAGTGGGGTGACAAGACAGCTCTCCTACTTCACTGCTGTGAAACTGGGTAACTCTTCTTCAAAATAATATCTGAGATGGGGAACATAAAGATTTGTAAGGAATGGATTTTTAACCTGCAAATGTCTCTGTCTTGTTGAAAATCCATCTCTTCTTTATATGTAACGTTGGGTATTCGAATATTACTAAAATACTCCTTGGCTTTTATGGACACTTTGGGTAAAAGTAGACCATCACCTTGCTACATAGAATGCTCAAAACAGTTCTTGTTTTTCTCAAGATGAGCTGACTGAAAATTCTTGATGTCCCTGAATAAAAACATAGGTCTAAACTGCTTTAAATCCCAGCAGATGATTAGCAACTGATTCCTGGATTGGGAGACACCAAATTCTGAAGGAAAATAAGGCATATAAGGCAACAGCAGCACAATCCTCCCCTGTAACAGTTGTGTTTGCTCCAGGGAGCACAGATTTGACACTGCATTTGCATTGTTTTTCTTATGTAGCATGATTTCTAGAGCTCCCAGAGAACACTAAGTACAAAACAGCTAGCAAGCAGGCCAACTAAAGAAGTACTTACCTCAGGCCTGCCATTTGATCTTGTATTCCTGCTAGAAATCACTTCTGCACAGCAAAAATGCCTATAAAGAAAAAGAATAAAACTTTGTGGTTTTGTCCATCACTGTCTTGATCGACTTAACAACGACTTTCATTTTGAGCTGCTGCAGATATTAAACAAATATTAAACAATCCCCATGAAATCACTCTGCGGATTATCAGTTACAGCTGCACTGCTTTCCTGTATGGTGTCAGCTTCAGTGCAGAAAGAAAGCCAGTAATCTTTCATTCACTGTTTTCATCCTTTTGGTCAAAATCCAATGTATGTTACAGTGTAAATTATTTTACAATATATACAGTATCTAAGGTCAAACACCTCATAATCAGTGTGGCAACTAATCAGATGATGACCTTTTGTCACTTATTACATATTGAGAAACAGCACCATTAAAATGAATATAAATGCACCAGCATAACATGAAATGAGAAAATGGAACCTGAGGTTTCAGTAGGCACAGCAGCGTCTAAGAATAAATCCATTTTCATCTAGCATGGACTATTTTTTTCCATGAAGGTGTTTTACTATTTTTGAGAGTTTATACCTGCTCTCTTTTGCTGGCATACAAAAGGTATTTGGCTGTTCTTTCTGATCCCTTGCTTATGCCTGGTTTTTAGATATACTTCAGATTTGAACTTCACAATATGAGCTGGTCACAAGTAGAATTCCATAACTTTATAACTGAACTATATAAATGTGAAGAGAAATGGCTGTTGACCTCTGTATTCATCGTGTATGATGACACCAGGCTGCGGAATACTCTCTTCTATGGAATTCAGCTGCTCTGCATTTCACAATCAGGAAGTGCAGAAGTCTGCAGTCACTCAGGTGGTGTCAAGCTGAGCTATAAGGAAAAGATCAAGTGTCAGCAATGAATGCTCTACTGTTACAGAAATAACAGTACTTTTTTCCCCAATCATAAGCACTTGCTCAGAGCACTGCTTTATAGATGGGCTGTGTTCAGAAATCTCACTGGAGCTGCCAGCATTGACCTTTCCACCTGACTCCTCCTGGAGCATCTACATCAGCACAGACATTCATAATGACAGGACTGCATTCATTTCAGTTACATGAATAGCAACAAGCACTAAAAGGGAAAACACCATTCCTAATTTGTAGTTCATTCTCAGAATTCTGGGAAAAATGGACTTGAACATCAGACAATATTAAGCTGCAATATGTAAAGCAGACATTGCATAAGTCGCTTATACCTGACTATGTTCATTAAACTGAGGCTTTAATAAATAGTTTAAACCCCTCTACTCACATTCTTTTGACAGTATCAGCTCTTTTTCCCACCTTTCCTGCAAAAAGGATCATATCAACTGCCCTTTAAATATTAGAAATTTCTTCTCAGCATAGCAGGTGGAATACAGAAAACACTGCATCAGATTAAAAAGAACCAACCTAGGAAAAGAAGAGAGAAGCTAGACAACTTTGAAAGCATCCTGGTAAGGCCCTGCTTCCCATGGTCACAGAACTTACCTTTCTCTGCAGCACTGAATACATTTCAAGCACCTCTGAACCGGACAGCCTTTGATAGAAAGGAACCACTCTTGAGGCAGAAGTTCTAATGCTCATTACAAAGAGTGTATCACTAAAAAATGGCATCAATTGCAGGCTCTGCGGAGCGGTAATAATTCACAAGCCTTTGGAAACACATTACTAAGGGTCAGGTATTACTAGGAAAAATATTTAATACTAATTTATTTCAGAAATATTAATTAACTAATTATAAGCAGGATTATCTGGGATAGGGGATGAGGCCAACTTTTAACTTCAGTGAGTGCAGAACCACCATGTGGAATGGGGCATTGCACTTTCACTGCCATTAGCTGTGCTCTCTCTTGCTGAAAGATTCCACAGGTCTATATCTCTACATTTATATATTAACTTGGGGTTACATTTACATGAGATATTATTCTATATGTTGAAAACTGAACTCGCATACCTTTCCCTGCTCCTCACCCACACAATACTTACAGTATCTGTAGACTTGTAATTCTCTTTTAAAGAAAGCTCTCATGTGAATCCTAACCCTGCAGATTTACCCATATAATAAATAGAGTATGGTCCAGCAGCTTTTAAACAGTGCCAAAGCCCATTAAAACTGACACAAACTAGCAGCAGTTATATCTAGCTTAATTATACAGATATCTCTTCTTTGGGAACATGTAGCACAGTGACAACAGCAAATGACATTCAGCATTCTTCCTGTTTATGCGGGTTGTGGGCTGAGAGCTATCAAGAGGCTCTGCCAATATGCACCCAGTGCATCTGCTGGTGTATGACTGCAATGGGCATCTGCCTTCCCATAAAGACTGAATTACCCTCTTTTACTAATCAGTCAAAGCCAAATTCCTTCACTGGCTTTGACAGTGTAATATAGTCCTCAAATCCCACAGCAATACAAGGAGGAGATGGACGCATATAACTGAAGCCAAAATTTGAGCTAAGTAAACATTTGTTGTATTTTGGTAGGATTTGTTGGATTATCTTGATAATCTAACTTGTACTATGACTCCAGTGATGGTCTAGCAGGAAAAAAACAAAAGGACCAAAGCATCAGGGTATGTGTACACCACACTCTCTTTGTCCAGCTCTTTGTCCGTAGTGATGATCCACTCAGACCAGTGTCTCTTAGCCATGCTGGTTCTAAACCCCATGTGGTATCTCCCTCCAGCACTATATTAAAGGACAGACAAGACTTACTAAAGCTGAGAACTGGATGGAAAGCACATGCATGCAATTACCATATCATTCCAGAGTACAAGTCCACTTCCTTCTACAGTGAGAATACATTTGCAGTTAAACAAAGTGAAAACATGCACACATTCTCACACGGACATATTAAAAAGGATAAAAAAGTGGTATTTGATAGTAAAATAATTCTCAGCACTGTTTTTTTGATGCTTAGTGTTTACTCCAGATCACACAAAGAGCTAAAAGAATTCGTCGCTTGCCTGCTGTAAGAGCTCCCTCTGTTGTTACACACTAAAACTATCGGAAAACATGTTCCATTATCCTCGCATGTTGTTCAAGCGGCGAGGTTTCAAACACTCCATTCTGTGAGAGGGGAGAACCGATACGATTCTCTGAGATAACATTTCAGCCTTATTTTCTGCACAAGCAACTGCTATTTTATTTCAGTCTTACAAAGTACAGACGGTATCATTTAGAATAACCTGTTCAATGCATCTAAGAAAAAACCCAACTGCATTTAAAGATGCCATATTTGCCCTAAAAAGCCTCCTACTATTCATATTAAACATTCATATTAAACATAAACACACCATTCGCTGTTTTTCCTGATGGATTATAAATACTAAAGCTGAGTTAAAGGAAAAAGCTGATGAAATTAAAGACCCATAGGAAAAACAGTGCTTATATATAAAAAGCCTAAAGGCCAAAATACCTTGCACTCAAAATACCTTTGATTGCACTCAAGATCACTTCTGAAACCCATAAGCGCAATAGAATGACAGGGGAATTGCAGGCAGCTCCAGTTAAGGGCAGTTTACTGGCCAAGAAACAAAAAGCACAGTAGATGCAAAGCTACGAAAGCATAAATCCTAATTTTCAGAAATAGTATCTTTAAATTTAAGCACCTCTCTTAGCCTAGCCCAGGCATTGTGAAGAAAAAGACTGGGCTGTGGAAGCAGATCTGCTCAGTACTGGTTATGTGCCACAGTTACAGTAATGATAGTGTAACAACTACAGGGATTTAAACTGTCAAGTGCTATGCAATGTCTGCTACAGGCATTGCTACCAATTTTGCTACAATCTAAGCAGTTTAGGATTAATTTATGTTTGGAATTTGCGAAAGACTGCTTCAAAATTAGATTGGATGTAAGGAGGAAATTCTTTTCTGTTAGGGTGGTGAGGCACTGGAATAGGTTGCCCAGGGAGGTTGTGAATGCTCCATCCCTGGCTGGCAGTGTTCAAGGCCAGGTTGGACAAGGCTTTGGGTGATATGGTTTAGTGTGAGGTGTCCCTGCCCATGGCAGGGGGGGGTGGAACTTGATGATCTTAAGGTCCTTTCCAACCCTGACTATTCTATGATTCTATTCTATGATTCTAAAATCAGCACAGAACTTTATAGCCTTGGAACAGGAGGTGAACCTCCTATGGAGCTACACAAACAAGGCATCACCATGTTTCAGTAACAGTATTTTTCAACAGACTTCTCCAGCAAACAATTAACAGCCATTTGCATCTCCCTGACTACTGTAAACATCTGGAATGCTTGAAAGTAGAAATTACAGCTGCTTTTCACTCTTTCACCCCAGAGGAACTAGCTGTTGGCTACTCACATTGTGTTTTGTAATACTTTATGATTCCCAAGGTGGCCATAAAGCATGGCTTGAGAAACACTGTTTCAGTGTGATGATGTAAGTAGTGACGTCTTATTACTCCAAGAACAAGGATGACTGCAGCATGCCAAAAGAGCAGGCTAAAGTAGGATAGGTTATGGGTTAGGACTTAAACAAAGAAGTGGTATTTTGACCCAGACACAAGGTAGTTCAGAATCTCAATTTAAAACTAAAATACAAGCTAGCATTCAAAAAAGCTGTTGCTTTTCACAGGAGTCTTCACCTGAGAGGCACCCATTACAGTTCATTTAATACCAGACTCTACTAAAGCTGTTCACCATTTCAAACAAATCTACTCTGAATTAGGAAAACACATTGCTGTCAGTTTAATGCCTTCTCCAAATCAAACATGCAGAAACAGACGCATTTCTAGAAATTCAAATACGACTGCATCCTATCCTCATAAAGGGAAAAACAAAGGCCAAGTGCAGGTACAGGGTTTACAGCTTAAGCATGGTTTTAGTGTGTGTCTGAAACTGTGGATCTGGTACTGACATCAACAATAAAATGGAAGAGATTAATATCCTAGTAATTATTTTTTAATCCACAGAAGGCTGTGACAAATCTTACATCCACTGTTAGTGTAAGAGAAGAAAGTCTCAAGCAAAACTGGGGCCTACAGTGCTGTAAGAAGGGCTGAGTGCAACCAAAGCAAAATGTGTCCTTCAGAAAGAGCTCTTGGTATTGCTTGTTTAGGCTATGCTTACACTGAATTTGGGATTTAATAAAAGAATAGAAAAAATAGACAACAGCACATATTTCTCAACCTCAGACAGTGCACTTTAGGAATACAACACCCTCATTTTCAGGCTATGATATTTCTACAGGTGGAAAGAATCTGTGTGTGTCTAACTTCTGAGACTGATCCTCCAGCTTTTCTGCAAGCAAAGCCTTTGCTGATTACACCTCAAGTTTGAATGCACAATAATCAGGACCAGGATGTGAGGAGCAGAAGTCTAACCCTACATGTTAGCAAGGTTTTACACAACCAGTGTCAGCTTGCATATAAAAATAAAACAAGAACTGAAACATTGAAAAAATGAGAGAAACCAGCGATAACTAAATTATTAATGTCCTAATTAAATCAATGTGTTTTGCTTTAAACATTATTGGAAATAATTTGTCTTCAAATTCCATTGCTCTTTTCCTACAGCATGGGGGGTGGAACTAGACGATCTTAAGGGCCTTTCCATCCCTAACTATTCTATGATCTCAGAGTTACAGGCTCTGATTCCAGAGCTTTCAATCTCTCCCGAAGAAAAAAGATGTTCCTTTGGCCACTCTTGATTCTGGCAATAAAGGCCTCACATTCCTGTTTGACTGAAGTCAGGATGTTCTTGTACATGGTAACATACTTTCTTATATGTGAATGTCTCTTTGACATAATACTTAAAACAAAGAGAACGAACAGTAAACCAGCTTTCTGGAACCTTCTAATAAGCATAATAGGTTTAAAATGAAATGAAAAGACAAAGTAATACTCCTTAGACAGCCCCTGAAGCAAGTTCTGTGGCACTGATCTAAAATAAGAAGAAACAGTCCCAGAAGCAAGTAACAAGGAACTAAATGAATTTTGCACTTACAGGTACAGAAAACCAAAGGAGAGGGTACTGTGCACTTTAGTATCTTAAAATGGCAGTCCAAGTCGAGATTTAAAAGCAGATCCAATAACCTTTATTCCTATCCATCATGAAAACTAAGAATATTTATTCTTGGTTTATCATTGCCACAAAGTTATGAAAAGTGGTTCCCAAGCATGAACACTGCTGTAACTTCTGGTAATATGAATTTATTGGAGAGGCTTCTATTTGACTACAATGCACACAGGGGCACAAACCAGCTGAAAGCATACTTCCCCCCTTGACCAACAAATCCCAGTTGGTCTGCTAATACGCTTTTTCCTCAGAAGACAAAGCAGGAGCAAAGCAATTTTCACTGATTATCGGTCACTTCTCATTTACATGAAAAACTTTACCTTGTGAAATGCTTTACTGTCTATAATGTAACACTCCTCAGGTGATCCCTGTTGGTCACAACCTGCTTGCTCAGTTCCTGTCCATATGTATGCTCATATGGACATCTGCTCTTCTTAAGGGCAGGAGTGAAGGCAGAACATTGGTCTGCTCCCATCCAATGGTCTTCATTATACAACAGCAAGTTCTCACACAAAGTCTAAACCTCTTTCCTCCCTTGTCCAACAACTGCCTCAGATCAAACCCTAAAGTAGGTGAAATAGAGAGCATCAGATGGTATTTCATTGTTCAAGCAGTTCTTTTCAGCTTAACCCTTCCCATC